CACCGAGGACCTATCCACATCATCATTTACCCAGAATGCTTTGTGTGTAAATAAAGTGGCTCTGTCTGTGTTAAAATAAATGTTTAAAATTTTACTAAACTAAACAGCCTACAGTATTTTTACATTCTTTATTTTACAGTTAAAATAAATGTTTAAAATTTTACTAAACTAAACATTCCACAGTATTTTTACAGTCTTTATTTTACAGTTAAAACAAATGTTTATCAAATAAAGTCTAATGTTACAACTAATCAGGGATCACTTTAACATAACGCTTCACAATGGTGGCACATGAAGTCCAAAGAGGTGCACGTTTCCTTTAGTTGGTTCGGTTCAAGGTTGGTCTGTGTTCACACCAGAAGCAAACAGCACCAGTGTTTGTTTGGAAGCAGATTGAGACCACCTCAAAAACGGGTCTCAGTCCGGTTGTTTGATCCACACCAGGGTTCAYATAAAAGGTCGGGACCAATGGGGAAAATGAACTTTGGTCCATTTAAAGTGGGCCAAATGTGTCAGGTGTGAATACACCCTAAAATTTCTATTTTATGAATCTTCATGTTGCCATCTATTTCAAAAAACTTATTTTTTACATGGGGTTTGATTGAAAAACCATGGGCAGCAGCCGTGAGCTGTTCACTTCCAGGGGAGTTTGTTAGCACGAAGATAGGAGTATCTCATTTCTGCTGGAATATTCACACAACCTGAGACTGGTGGTGAAATAAAAGTTCAAATAATAGTTTTTGCATGAACTGCTACAAAATCTTGAAGACAGGGGTTTGTTTTGAGACTGTAAAATCCCACTGCTGCAGTAGGTACACTCAAACCTGACTGATGAGCAAATAACCTGAAAAACCCACTTCAAAAGCAGATTGCTGCCAATCTTTAAAATTTCATAGCTGTTCATGCAAACACCATTTCTTAAACCATTACAGCATTGCTACTCATATTCCAAGATTGTTTTGGCTTAAATATTCAGAGTACCCTGCAGGAAACGCCTCCAGCTGCTGTTATGTCAGTCCTGTCAGATTTAAGCTTTGTCCAAATTGAGATTTTTTAAAGAGCTTTCTACAACAGGTAAGATATTAAATCTTAATAGCTTTTTCACAGAAATCCACTTCAAAATGCCTTAAAAAATCCCTTTAAGTTTAAACTAGTTTTAAAGATCCTGAAAATGGCAAGAAAAATGTTCCRCTATAAATGACGTTTTCCACAAAATCTCAACAAGATCTTTAAGGCAGACAGGTGGTGGATGTTAAGGAGCTACTGGGCTACCAAAAACACTTGGATGAACTCACAACAGACAGCAGCAGAAATCTGGGRGCACTACAACCCACCCAGCAGCAGCAGAGCCAGAGAACGTACAGCAAAAAGACAGACAGAAGACGAGGAAGAGGAGAAAGGACAGATGGAAGAGCCCTGAAAGCTCACAGGTGCAAACAAACAGAGATGCACACAAGCTGAGGGTGGTGTGAGCAGAAGGAGAGCATGTATACATGTACACAGTATAATGTTATAATGTTGTTCTAACCATGGTAAGGAAACTGCACTCCATCGCTCTCATGCTTAATCTTCCTCTCCTGCACACTGGCCAAATGGTGCTGCACTGAAAGGCCAAACAGGGGAGAAGGAAAGAGTTAACAATGGAGGAAGGGTTTGACAGAAAACGTCAGAGACATAGAGGTGGAAAGAAAAAAAAAAACAGGGTGGTTAAATTACAGGCAAAAGGGGATTTTTTATGTTACAGAGTGCAGCAAATGCTTTAAAAAAACGTTACATCATTAGGACCGGCAGTTTAAAAAGGCACCATCTAAGAGGGAGGGTCATTCTAAATTACAGAGCATATGAAATTTAACAATTTCACAAAATGCTTTGAGTCATATAGCACACCCAGGAGATACACATGAAGTCACACTGGAAATACATTTGAGGAAATACTCATCAGGATTGTTAGAAGTGCTGTAAGGGTGAGCGGTTATGGTTTGGGAGGAAAATGGGTGGTTACACTGGTGCTGCTCTGCTGCAAAACTGAAAAATCAAGGAACGGGATGTGGATGGTGACAATCAGAGGGTATGTAGAAGCAGGAGAGGAAACAATAGAACCTTTTGGATGCATTTGATGTTACACTGCAAAAAAATGTCCACCTTACCAAGTTTTAAAACCTTATATCCATCCAAAAAGTCTCGTTGATCTTATTTTGAGACTGATTTACTAAACAAGAACAGATTGCGTAAGAATAATAATCTTGTTTTCAGAACGTGTAAGATTATTTGTCTTGTTAGTCTAAAAATTTGACTCAAATTAAATCAAAACTTTCTGCCAATGGAGTAAGAATATTTTAATAACTAAAGGTAGCAGTTTGTCAGCTTAGAACAAAGGCTAAAACATGAACCTACCAATCCAGTGTTAATGTTAGGAGTTAGGCTACTTGTTTCTGACCAGTTCAGTCTTTATTTTACTGTCATGTCTGTCTGTTATTAGCTCTTGTTTTACACTGGCACCTGGTAGGGCTTTTCCAGTCAGGGTTGTTGACTAATCACCTACTGCCCAGCCCCCACCATCCTGAGTAAAAAAAAAGAAAACCTAAGTTGAAGCATCCTAGGATCAGTTTCTGCCATTGTTGTTTATTTTTGAACAGAATATAAAGTGGAAAATATGGTCACGCGTGAGATCAGCTTTACTGACATATTAAGACCGAGTCTCTGTTTGAAGCCTCTGGTCTTAAATTATAACGCGGCAGCTGGGATTAATGCTTGTTTAGACTAATTTATTTACTTTTCATCTGTTTGTTGTTATAATGACAATTGTGCTAGTTTAATTAGCTGTAATCTTGACATAGTTTGAGAGAGTCATTCCAGGATGGAGCCCAGGACAATGTGGCGGCATCATCCTGGGGATGTGCTGCTGATGGTGGGGGTGCAGGAAACCGTACAAGGTTTTACCAAATCCTCCTCGACCCAGCCACATATTTACAGGCGGTGTAGGTTGTGAGGAGCGCAGCCTGAGGTTGTAAAATTCTTAATAAAGACATTAGGTGCTTTAATTTTAATGATTTTTAATGGTTTTGGTGTGTTTCAGGTGTGAAAGAGAATACTGCCTCTCTTCCTCAGGCAGATGCACACAAGAGTTTTCGATTTGTGCTGTAGATCAGAGATTCTTAACCTCTGGGCCGCGGCCCACAGCGCCACCTTGAGGGCCTCAAAAGAACAACAGTTTTTACCTTTGGGCCGCAGAGGGCCGCGGGACTGCATTGATTTAAAATAAGTTGCAATACACGTTCTCACCAYTAGTAGCAGTAGTGCGCCACTCAGATGTTGGACAAACTTTTTAATATGTAGAAGAACCTTAGAAACCTGCCGAGAGTGGAAGCCTATTTTAAATGTAAAGTAGAAGCAAAAATGAAGGAAGCCCATCAAAAAAGCCAAAGTTTATCACTAATATGAAGTACAGCTTCTGGTTTTACCATGCAATTTTTTAAAAGTTAAAAAYATTATCAAATACATTTGAAGATGCAGGTATAATTTAATTTGCACTTTATCAAATTAATTTTTGTAGTTTATTTTTAAACATTTTGAATGTATCTATTTTAAAGAAACTTTAAACTTGTCAAAAAGTTGTTACTGTTATTGTCACGAATAAAAATAGCAGATTCTGATTCTACCATGCAAAAGTTGAAAAAGTTTAAATATGATAAATTGCAAATTATTATTTGCAATTTATCAAATTTATTTTTGTAGTTTTTTTATTTGAAACTTTTACATTGAACATTTTGAATGCATTTATTTTATGACCACAATTTGTTGAATTGTCTATTTTTGTTATTGTTTTTGTTAAAATATATATTTTTTGTGTTGATAAGCCTGAGTGGTCTGTTGAGTGACTGTTGTGTTTGTTTAAATAATTGTTGTGGGCAGGTTACAATATAACTTTTTTATTTTTTGTCATAGTCATGTCTTGTGGTTATTTGACAGGAGTTTTACTTTTAAACTGTAAGTGTATTTAATTTAGTTATAATGCAAATGCAACACAAATTAAACCAAAATTTAGAATAATTATCATTTTGATCCATACATTGGTAATGTCTGACTGGGCCTCRTGCCWCTTTGTGTTCAACAAATTGGGCCCCGAGGTCAAAAAGGTTAAGAAGCCCTGCTGTAGATGGAATAGAAGTKGGAATATGAGAGAGATGGGGTCAAATGAAGAAGAGAAGGCTCAATGCATAGAGGTAAAGGAGGTCACAGGAGTTGTGCTGCGTCTTCTGTTTTATTGGTAGACAAAATTAAATTACAGCTAAAAATTCCTCAATCAAGATGAAAAGTTTGACATTTCTGACAAAACCCTGAACACTGGTGTTCATGTGCAGCAGGAGGTGTGGTTTTCAGGGCAGAGCAAAGGAGATTCATTGAATTGGGTAAACAGGGCTGTGTGTGAAACATATTTAGGTATTGTCTACAAATTTCAACATCTGTAGCATCATTAGTACTGACTGTAGTGTCACTGGAGTCACACAGGACGTTTGTATCTAAAGTTAGTTTAGTAGTTTCATATAAATCCCTAGAAGTCAAAGCTGTGATCTAGGAAAGGTGTGATATTCAAATGAACCACGTTACAGTTGCAAATTTAGAAAACCTGTGAGATTTGGCTAAATGTTATGTTCAGAGACCAGGATAAATYCAGTTAGCAATGCAAACTGCAGAAATATTCAGGTTCAGTACTGTGTGTAACTGATTTAATGAGAYACAAACCAGAAGAGACAAAAATAAACAGTTTTTTTGCAGTTATCACTACTTTTTTTGCTGTCAGCTTTCTGAGTCAGAATTATATAAATTATAATATAAATTTCAGACCGGTGCTAAGCTAAYGGCTCAGCGCTAGCATTCTGAGAGATCGAAACACAATAGTGGGAACAAGCTAAAACTCTGACTACATTAATTTGGTTATTTAAAAACTACAATTTTTGTGAAGTGTTTAATTTAGTGTCAGATGATTTTACAAACACCTTTAAAACTGGAGATATTTGAAAACTTTTAAATCTAGTTTTTGGTGGATTTGTGTAGATAGAACACTTCTTCAAACAATGACATCAACCTACTTTCTACATGCCCAGTTTCACTTTGAGCAACAGAAACCAAAATAACAACGGAACCGTTTTTCAACCAGCATTCCTACCGCTGTCTCATTTTTTTTCTTGATTCTGTCGCAATTAAAGTTTGATTTTGTGCTGAAATAGTTAATAACTGAGGAAATTGTTAACAGTATTTAAAACCATGTTCATAGAAAGTCTTTTAGCCAAGCTAAGCAAGTTCTTTTGTGTGGACGTTTTCTGTACAATAACTAGAGATCATGTAATTATTGTGTAGTGGCACATCATGGGTATGTCAGAATTTTTGTTAAAAGGTTGTGGTTGAAGAAAAAATACAAACAGAAAAAAAAAATCTGATTTTTAATTAAAATAAAACCCATATATATATTTGTCCTCAATATGTGTGAAACGTTATAGTTCACTTCAAGGTAGTACATCGTCTACACTGGTCTAAGGACAAATTGTGCAAATTCAAAAGGGACTTGGATCCGTCGTGTGATCGCTGCGGACAATCTCCTGCCACACTTCT